TCCTATATATTTTTCTGTAGTTCAAGTAATATTGTTGGATCATGAGGCTCTCAGAAAAGGCCCTCCTAATCATGTTTAAAAGAGAAAGGCGTCCTTCACAAATTATGACAGTGCTTGTTGAAGTTCTTCCAAGGAGCCAGTTTCCATAAGAATGGAATTCCAATTTCCAATCAAATTAATGACAATGATGTCGAAAAGTTTAAGGTTACGAGTGCTTTAAATCCTCGGAAGCCTTCCATGTTTGGCATTATCAATAACGCAGCAGACCTCACATTGGACATTTCCCTGTATATTTGAAGCAATGTAGTTAGTCTATGGTTGTAAATGAGAACTGCGTTACTTGCGTGGAACTATGAAAATTCATTCTTACACCATAGGAATCCATCAAATTGGAAATATCTTGGGTTGACCTGCTGTTGGTAATTGGTAATTGGTAAATTTACATTGGTTGTGACCGATAAATACAGACAATTTAGAGTTTCAATCAATGGCATCTTAACACAGATAAACACCGCATCTCATTCATAAAACTAATTTTTAGATGGGCGCGTTGTCAATTTCTTCCGGCTGTCTTACGAAACCGGCGTTGTCAGTAGTTGTTTTTAGGCTTGAAGCTCCAACTTTTTGAAGCAGAGTCATAACAGGATAAAATATCAATCCGTAACAATTTGGCAACCAAATTGGAGGGGATACACCGGCGGTGGATTGCTCTCTTAGATGTCGGTGACACAAAATTTTGTTCACTGTAATGTCTATCTGTGTTAATATGTCATTGGCTTCAATTTAACAGAGAAGATAATTGACAACTCCAATTGCTTGTCTACAAGCAGGTAGTTTAGGTTGTAACCCGTTTTGTCAAAAAATTAACAGGAGGCCCATATGCTCAGTTTGCTCAGCTAATAATTATCAGGGATGGGTCAATAGTTTAATAAGTACAGAATGGCAAAGGTCCCACTGAATTTGAAAATAAATAAATAATTAAATTACATATAATATTTAAAATGTGTGGAAATTCAGAAACACACCTAAAAAAAATAATTACCAAACGATAATCGATAATTCTGGAAGGAAAAAAAAATACAACTCAACCAAATCTTGACATAGGTAAAACCAATAAAACACTCAAACAATTTTCAACTCAAAATAATATATATTTTCACAGTGAGGTTAAAAATCAAGAATTAAATAATTTTAGAAGATAAAATCAATGGTTGGTAAAAAACCTAAATAAAATCAATAAACAGAGTCTCAATCAGATCAAATTCCAAAAAAATATACTTGCCATATAAGTTCATTGCCACTCGCTGGCCATATCATTATCATGAAATGAAAATATAAGAGATTTAAGTTTCCAGAAAACTAATTAAAAAAAAAATAAATGATTGAAAATTGTATTGATAAATATGGTCAGCTTTTGCTTAAAAAATAAATTCAATAAAATCAACTTGCACCTGAATTAAATCAAAAATTAGGTTAAATGGTCAGGAGATATAATAGAATTTCTTAAATATATAAGTTATAGCACCCAGAGTTAAAAATTGATCAATTTTCGACGATATAGGTACCTACTGAATAATTTTAAATTTAGAACATGTTGTCCAGCCTTGACTTCAGTTCAGTATTATTGATTACCATTGATAAAATATAAGTACATTCTTTAAATATGGCGGTACTTAAAGCTAAGTAGAGATAAAATCTATAAATACGGTAAATAAAAAATCGCAAATAATTATTCAAAGTTCACTTCGGTGTCAATAATGTGAATTTGAAATTTTAATATTTCTTTACATTACAAGTGAGTTTATGAACATTATTACAATAACGAGTGTGAAAGTGTTCTAATCACACGAGTTTTGTAGTCATGTTTAAACGCACGTGTGATGTCCAACATTTTAATTACAAAGCGAAAAATAAGAATGTTTTTGCAATTATTTTCGTTTATTAGTAGTTGTCTACCTTCATTTTACCTTTACAGGTTTTACGTTGACATTTGTCAAATCATCAAAAATAGTTGTCTTATGGATTCATAACCTAGTCTATAACACCACTAGTTGTGTTATGAATCTCATGACATAACTCAAATACTAGAAAAATGTTTATTTAAAAACGTCGTAACCAAACTCTTGTAGATAAATATTTAAATGTCATATCAGGAAAAAAATATCAATTAATTTTGTTAATTGATCATCAAGTAGATTTCATAAAAAAAAGGTACTAAAAGTTATATTTGAAACTCTATACAAGCCTCAATTCCAACAAGAAGGTAGAGTACGCTAACCATCAATTTTCTGTCACTTGACGAGGGAAGTTGTAGATTCTAGCCTGGAATCAAGGTAGATAGAGGCTAGAAGGTCAGTTTTCTTTGTCGAATGTGAAGGTACAGGTATCGTCACGTAAGGGACTTGATTCCTCTAGTAAATCACTTCAAGAGCTCTAAGCCCACGCTTCACAAAAATGATGATCTTTAGAAATGTGGGCTTGTTGAAAATGGATTCCTTGAGATACACTGCTCCTCGGAAAACCCTAAATGAGGCATTCCATAAACAACCATTTCTTTAAAAAAAAATTAAAAAGGACTTACCACAAAGGGGTTCGAAATTCAAACTTAAATAAAACGGTAATCACGATACATTTGATTCAAATTTTTTCGGTAATCAACGAAAGTATGACTTGCGCAACTTTATTTCGCCAAATTAATGTCTGTGGTCGATAAGGTACTTTTCTACACGATAACGGTAATCACAGTTAAGGAAGATGGCTGCCCCCCAGACGAGAGTCAATCTTTCAGGACGAACGGTAATATTTAAACTTCCCTTCAAAAAGTAGCCAACGGAAAGTGTTGGTATTAAACTGGTACTTCAAAGCGTGCCCTCTAGGTTACTAGTTCCTATTATTATTTTCGACAGAAATCTTCTTCCAAGGTCTTTCAATAATGGCAGTCACCAGACCATTCAAGGCGATAATTTAGTTTATGTCATATCAATACATTATTGTGTTTTTATATCTTAGATCCCATCTACATAATTCATTACTTTATGCCCGTGCGGGCATGAAGTACACATTATGGCCCGCGCGAGCATAAAGACGCAAAAAACAGTTTTCAATTAACTTATTCTTTATTAACAAAATATAAATTTACGCTGATAAACATATTATTTTTGTCAAAAAATGATGATGTTTGCACACTGATGACAATTTGCGAAGTGACACTTTTTTCCCAGGTATTTATTATTCACAACCAACTGGTATGACATAAAAGTTTGTATGCACCACGGGTACTAACAGATATATATACCCTCGGGCGACTTACGCACCCTCGGGCCAGAGGCCCTCGGCTCTGTAAGACTGTCGCCCTCAGGGCATAATCATCTACTTAGTACCCTTGATACATAAATAACTATTATAAAATTAATATATGGGAAAAAGAAAAACAGTAACATTTAGCATGTTACAAGGTCGCCAAATCCAGAAAAGGAGTCCAGAGTACTTTCATTCAGAAGGGCTGCAGTACCGCCAGGGGTATAGATTTATCCGCAGACTCCAGGGACCAGAAAATAACCTGGTATAGATAATGGTTCCTCAGGGGCAAGCTGATGTTCAGCCTATAAAACTCTATTGGGAAAATTCAGACTTTCCAAAACAACAAAAAGATCATCAATTTTGCTACGGACGGACTAATCATTCAAGAGCAATAGTGAAAAGCTTGCGCCGAATGGAATTCATGGAGAATGGTTTAATAAAATTCAGGAACTTCTTGTTACTTCGCCTATATTGTCCCGATTTCTTTAAGTTGTTAAGTTTCTGCTTTTGGTTATGTGTGTGTAGGCAATAACACAGAAAATAATAGTATCGAAAAAATGATCTGTTTTCTTTACAGATTGCTACCTCGAGTGCTTGACCACAGAAAGAGAGTGTTAGGCATTTTTTTTTTAGACGGTCGAAAATCTGCGCAATTAACTTGAACGTGTGCATTTTAAGGTTTATAACAGATCTCCATAGCTTATTCTGGTTTGAAAGACGTTTGGCCAGATAAGCTTCATTACTGCAGCCCTATGATTGTAAGATCATTTAATTAAAAGGAAAGGATACTATCGTACCAGATATACTTACTAGGTCTATTCCTGAAGTCGTAGAGTGCATTGGGCATAGTTCTGACCAATTCTATCAGAATATGGTGTTTAGTGTTTATAAGTTTCCAAAATGATTGTTCACTTGTCTTTGAACTTCACTAGGCATACAATTTCTACAAAGAAAAATATTAATAGACTCTCTATGATCGACAACATACTCATCAGTAGTTAAGCTTACACAACTAAGTGCGTTCAAATACACTAAATTATCTGTCTACTATTCCATCAATCAATTTCCTATGTCCACCCAACTGATTGAGTGATAAAATATGTAAATTTTCATTTGGAACTTTTAACCTCCGGCAATGTATTTGAAAATAATTGATTGGAAATAGTTTCCAAATCAGTTGTTTCACCTAAATGGAACGTTAGTAAAACCCTCAATTTCGGTAACATTAACATGCAATTTTTTCGCATCAGGGGTTATTTACATTCACTTAACTTAATGTACGGAAAATTAATAATAGAGAAAAGTTGAAGAACATGTACTATATGTAGTTGTTTACATCCACTTATAAATTAGGAAAATTCCCATAACATATGGAAAAGTTGGGTCAACTCCAATTTAGGGAAATCCGTACGTTAATTTCTGTACCTGTGCATATAATTTTACTTGACAATTGAGGTTATAAGTGCACATGCATCACGTAAGAAAATTAAATTTATTGTAAACACACACCTTCTCAGTTTCCTACGTTAATTATAAGTTTCCGTACGTTGAGTTGAGTAAATGACCCTTAACTCATTTTAGTCGATGCATACACAAAAGTCAAAAACTAATTAAACTGATGTTCACGAGAATTTTTATATGAGCGCTGACATGTTAGTCATTACCATTCCCAACTCGTTAAAGTTGAAATTTCATTACAGGTGGCCTATTTCATCCCACCGACGACAAACAGGAAATCGCATTTCGTTATGCCATCGAGAAAATTAACAGCGACAGGACCATATTGCCACGATCAAAATTACAGGCTCAGATAGAGAAGATCCCGCCTCAGGATAGCTTTCATGCTTCGAAAAAAGGTAAGAAAACAAATAATGGTATCTTATTTTATTTTTGTTTCTATATTAGATCTGTATTATCTCTTATAGGATACCATTTATCCTATCCCATTATGACAATAAATATTATTAAAAAACACGACCAGCTGTAATAGTAGTTGAATCTTTCATACTTAAGGGAGTCTAAAAGGACATATCCTTATCACAATTTAATTATAGTGCACAATGGTTCATTTGAATCCAGAGAAAAATTGAAATTCAATTTTTATCATCCAATTGAAAGTTTCCCTCGAGCAGCTAAAGCAATCAGGAAATTACCATATTATCGCCAGGACGTAATATATTCAACTTAACTTTAATAACCGATCAATATAGTTTGTAGTAAGATGATAAACGGGAATACGAAAGGTGAATTAGTATTACGTTTAGGTGAATCCCGATATAAAAACAGCATTCAATTTTCATAGTGTCTTCAAATAAATATTTCAGGTGATTCAATAGACTTCTTGTTCAATTTATTTTTTTGGAAGTAGGTATATAAAGTGCGTTATTTGTGAGTTAATAGACAGTGTAAATGAGAGGATTGCTCAATAAACTTTGTTGAATATCGGAGCAGAATAAGTTGACTGCTACCTTCAACTAATTTATGATATTGAATATTAGATGTATCCTTGAGATTCTTCTTGTTGGTAGGTGTAATGCATTTAATGTTCAATTAAAAATTTGTTTCGTGGTGAAACAACATTGTACCGACTGACCCAAAAATGGATACACAGCTTCATACACAGTATAAATGAAATTATTCAGAAGACTGAGGTAGCAACACTCGCATATGTAAATCGTATGATAAAATGCTCTGTAAATTCACTGTTATCAGATTTTATTATACTCTGGTTTTGTTTCACGTTTAAAAAAAGCTATCGAATTTTAGATGTGTTGCAAGATTGAATGGATATTGATTATTTGGTTGACACCATCTTTTGTGTAAAGAAAACTTACTCTGTAAGCAGTTTTTTGTGTAATAATGGCTATTTTAGTTCATTTTGAAGTCTCTCATAATGGCTTATTAGATTAATGGTATGATTACATTTTTCAATAACCGATAAAAATAAGGATTTTTCTTTCAAAATATTTGCTTGGGAAATTTTTTGATTGCCTTGCAATTCTATAATTATATAGGGACTCTATTGTTCACCCTCAGAGATGTCGAGGTTTGACGTAATTGCTTTTAGGAAGGTTGCTAGCCCTCTTTTAGCTCTTTTAAAGTTAGTTTGGTATGGTGATTTCTTCTGTTCTCGACTCTGTTTTGAAATCAAGCATTTTAAATGTATATTAAATTAATTGAGATAATAATAACAAAAATAATTTATGAAATATCTCTCAAAGTCTCAAGAAAGGGACACTATCGCATTCACAGAAGCAGTACGCCGCAGCTGGCCAATCAGCGTCCAATAAATTGTGATATGTGACTTGCGTTGCCCTTATTTCCCATGAGCAGCAAAGAAGTAGTACAGATGCATGAAAAACACTAATTAATCTGCGACTGTACTGTAGAACCTAGAAGTTCACACGTTAGTGGTTTGCCTATGAAATAATAGAACATTTAGATAATACTCTATACAATTTCCGTTTTCTCTCCAACGGTTTCTTCCGGGCCGGCTCTATGGTAAAAACCAATAAGTGTGAAGCCCGGCGTGAACAAAAGCACCTGTGTCATTTTGTCAACCAGTTTCGCGAAATAAGTCGATTGGTCAAGATTCAGTAAGACTGTCTTCCCCAAGTCTTCACCCTGTCAAGACGTAGCACGTTCTCTTCTCCATCTATACCTCCACTGAGATCCATAATCATTCCATCTATCATCTACTCCTGCTGTTTAGTCTACTAAAGTATAATATATTAATTATTATTTTGCACTCTGATATTCGAATTTCCTACGTGCGCGATCTGACATTCAAATTATAGGCGCTCACAAACTCATAGAAGCACATCAGAAACCCGAGGAGTACTCCACGCGCCTAATTTCGAGAGTAGAATCCACGCCCCTAATGGAGGTTAACGTACATTCTACAAGTATACAGTCCGTTTTGGCTCAATCGGTACATTTGTTCGAAATACTTATTTAGAACCAACAAACCCAACACCTGCAGAACTATGCCTCTCAGAGTCCGTAAAACTATTTGGAATCAATGTCATTTATGTTCTTCGTCATTCTCGTAATCGCCCTCATCATTCCAACTATCTATCAATTAGCTCAATATCTCAGGATGTCAAGTAAATGCCCTCTAAGAAGATTTCCAGTTCATCCGAATCAACCCTCACGCATGGCATGGGTGATTCTCCTTCCTATGTACTGACCTAACAGGGACTAGACAAATGGTGACCTGTTCCTCTGCCACGTTGGATCAGCAGTCCCATCCTACCAGTGCCCTTGTCCCCAGATTTTGATATTTTTCTTCGTATGCCGCATTTCTCTTTTCCCTAGTTGACGATTTACTACGGATTCACTTCAGATTGAAAAATGGTTTGGTCACTATGTTCTAATTATTGATCACTTTCAAGCTGATCCAGAACTTCGTTCTTGATCCATTGCAAATCGAAGGTTTCCAAGAGGAACTTTTTCACGCTGATAATTTCTGAGGAGGTGCTTGCGTTGAACTGGGCATGGTTGCCAGGACTCTATTGTTTGTGCTTTGCTAGAACGTGTTTGATTTGAAAATCGTAGTGTTGCCACTTCTCCATCGAAGGCTGAGAGTCGCTAGCCCCCGGATCCCGAACCTCCGATTCGATAGTATCGTCCATATAAATTACATAAACGATACTATCGAATCGTGGGTTGGGTATCCGGGTATAGGAGTAAAAGATCTATGTCGTACTCTACAGTCACATTCTAAATATTTTCTCCTTTTACAGCGGTAACATTATTCGGACAACCTCTCAAGATTCCCCAGAAGTTCCTGCATTCCTGTGTCATTAAGTTGATTTCTCCTATTGGTTATTTTACTTCTCATATTGACATCGCTCTGATATTTAGTTTGGGTTTCTTTTATAGGCCGCTTGGCTGGGATTCCTAGGACTTCGTTTGGAGCTTCACTGCTACTTGAGCGTTTGTTAATCAGCAGCATTCTCTGTTATATCTCTGATTTCATTGATTAACTTTCCGGCTGCTCGCATTTGTGAACTTTCCACAGCTATTTATTGTCTTGTTCTCAGCTGTATACAGACAGGGTCACGCTACTAGACAGATAGGCTTCAATGGGACCAGTGGACTGATACCCATATAACCCAATTCGAGCTGTGTGTTATCTAAATCAATGAGACCAGTTGATTAATACCCATATTACCCATGTCGAGCTGCATTTTATCAAAATTCGTGCATCTTCGGCAGCTCTGCTATACTCGGCTTTGACAGGTTCGCTATACTTAATCGGTTTCGGTAGCAGAGCCTCGATCCGCGATGTTAAGAATAAGATTTAAATTAATAATTTGTTTTTGTATTTGGAATTGTTTACTATTTTCATGTTTTATAGAATTATTTGATAGATGGCGCGGCATAACTGTATTGGAAGTGTTCGATAACTTTTCTATGGTATAAGCTAGATATTTGTTTAAATAAGAATTTGAGGTTAAGTTGAAATGTGTCAATTTTTGAATTTATTATCAGCTGTTAGTTTGAAGTTTGGCTGTACTTGTACTACCCGTGTGTTCTTTGTTTGTGGTGGATTGTGGAAATAAATTAATCAAAATTCTGCGTTTATTTAATATAAAATAAGATAAAATCCCAACAGGTTATGAGCCCAGGTCCCACAGATCCCTACAACACAAAGCACACAAGTGAAAAATAAAATAAAACCAGTAAAACCAATAAAGTAAAAAAAGTTGAAATTAGTCTTGTTCGTGGTGAAGTGAAAAAAGTGTAAAAGACATAAAAAGACTTTAAAATGGCGTCTTCTGATGAAGCAATTCAAATTGACAAACTAACAAATAGTGAAACCTACCAGATATGGAAATTCCAAATAATAGTTTTCTTCAAATCAAGTGGCTTATGGGAAATAGTGAATGGAACAAGAATTCTCTCTGATCAGGCAAGTGAAACTGAAAAAACTGATTTTTTGAGAAAAGATGCAAGAGCACAGAAAATAATAATCACATCAATTGATAAAAAAATCCTTATGCATATAATGCACTGTGAAAATGCTCATGAAATGTTCGAGAAATTGAAAGGTATTTATGAGAAAATTTCTGAAGATGAAAAATGTAGTTTGTTGCAAAAATTTTTTAATTATGCACATAAGTAGCTTGGAAAATCTGGCACATAGGCTCAAAGTATTGAATCAGGACATAACAGAAAGTATGTTAATTTCAAAAATCCTTTCTACCCTTCCGGAATCGTATAAACATTTTATAACTGCATGGGAGTCAACATCAACCCCTGAAAAAACATTGACAAATCTAACTAACAGATTACTGGCAGAAGAGTCCAGGCTAAACAAACAAACAGAAGCGAGCAATGATGTAGCATTTAAGACCCTACCTTTCCAAAAAAGTGGCCCCCACCATTCTAAAAACTTCAATAGAAGTGACAATAATTGTTTTAAATGTGGAGAAAAAGGACATTTTGCTCGTACTTGTAATAAGAAACCTAAACAGTGTAGAATATGTAAAAAGAATAATCATCTGGAGCAAAATTGTTTCTTTCGAAATAAGAACCCAAACCTTCGAAGAAATGCAGAAGACAAAGTTGCTTTTCTTTGTGCAAATCCTGCTCCGTCAACTGGCACAGTATCTTTCGTGATGGATTCAGGTGCATCATCCCACATAACAAATGAAAAAGATCTATTTTCATCTTTCACAGAAGAAGTGTCCAATATTTCAGTAGCAAAGAAAAACCAAACAATGCAATCAGAAGGGAAAGGCCACATAGAGGGAACTGAGTGTGTCTTAAAAGAGGTACTTTTTGTACCAGATTTGAATAAAAATTTATTGTCAGTAAATAAAATTACAGAAAACAATGGTCAAGTAAT